TCAAAACCTACAAAATCTTCATTGCTTGCATTGTAATTATTTTTTTATTATTTAGGGAGTCATTATAACTAGTTATGTTTTTAAAGTAAAAAAACTACTATTGTTATAAATAACACTATTCAATTGAACTAAACTATGCATGCCTATTTAAAACGATTTACACATAGGCTTGTGTATATCGTATATATACATATACGTATATTATTCATACCTTCGGTGTATAGGACGCAAGCAGATTTTGACATCAAATTTTGGGGGTAAAAAAGAGCGTCTTATACATCGAAAAATACGGTAATAGACTGTTAGAAAGGATATGTTTGGTTTGACAGATAAATTAATTATATTGTCTGGTTTGAGGGTAGGTGAGAAATGAATTTCTCTTATGTACGTCACGAATAAATGTGTGATGCTTTTGGTATTGGTGAAGAAGTTAAGAGAATAGACAATGACTATTGTAATAGAAAGATAGTAATAAATAGACATCTTCCAATTAGTACATGACTAGTAGGGATCCCTCAGTGATCTGATTTGAGACGGTAGTTCATTATTTGTGTCATAAATTTGGTTAACTTCATGAACAATAAGATGTTTGGAAGGGCCGAAACTGTTAATAATAATTCCATTGCGATTATTCAGAAATTAAACTAAAATATGAAATTCAGTTGCTTGTTAAGAAAAGTGCCGCGTCACATCAAGACAACAAACAATTCGATGTGATATCAGACTACTACATGATAAACATATGTATAATTATTAATTTTTTTGTTTTATTTTGCTGTGATTTTATTTGTGAAGTTTGTAAAGACATATATATATACGACTTTTTTGAGATTATTGTCATGGCTATATTATATTTTTTACGCAGTGTTGTTTGTATTGTTTACATATCTTTTTATTTTGTTTTCCTGTAAAACTTCCCATGAATATTAACGATAACACAGGCCTGCGAAATTAAACTTCATACAAGTTGATTTTGGTTTTAATAACGGATTTTCCATAACTAAGCTATGCAGACTTCGAAAATAAGATTCATTTGTTTTCTATCACGTAATGATTTTTTCCAAATCGGGAAGAAAAAAGAACAACTCTTATTTAGATCAAATTATTATTTCGTTTACCACAATGAACATTTTTTATTATTATATTTGGGTTCTAAAACGATTGATAAGACTCTCACATCGCGACTGGTCTAGAGAAATCTATATCCAGTGGTTGTCAATATTTTGTTTGTTTGTTTGCTATGGATTTCGCGCAAAGCTACACGAGGGCTAACTGCGCTAGCCGTCCCTAATTTAGCAGTGTAAGACTAGAGGGAAGGCAGCTAATCATCATCACCCACCGCCAACAACTCTTGGGCTACTCTTTTTACCAACGGATAGTGGGATTGACCGTCACATTATAACGCCTCCACGGCTGAAAGGGCGAGCATGTTTGGTGTGACGGGGATTCGAACCCGCGACCCGCAGATTGCGAGTAGAGCGCACTGACCACCTGGCCATGCCGGGCCCGTTAAAATTTTAAGCATAAAAAAATGTGACCCAATTTCAATGAAAATGATTCACTTATGTAAAAGTACATATGACGTTTTGTAAAAAAAATTTTGTTTGTGATGGAGAGAAATGGACTTTGGGTACAGGAACTACTGTAGAACATGTAAAAATTTCAAGACAAATTAGCCATCGCAAGCCTGTGTAACTTAGTTTTACACACGAATTCTTTCTTCATTGTTACGTAGAATTTTTTTTCAAACATTAATTTCATTGTTAATTTATTATTCAATTTAGAAAGTCGCTCTTGTAGAAGTTGTAAAAACACAGAAGTGAGCAACTTTAAACATTCTCTTTTGGAAACAGACGTTGTTTGATTAAATCAGACATTAGACACCCTTATAAAAGTTTCATTTGAGTCAAAACTAATAATGGATGCTGAATTTTTTTCTTAATTTATTTAAATACTTTAAAGAGTAATCCTGCAGGAAAAAAAAAGAGCAGTTGTGCTTCAAAAACTTTTATAATCGTGTTATTATGAAATTCCAGTTGTTATCTATTAACAGTTAGTTGAATAAAAATATTAATATGTTTTAAATGAAACTTGTAAGGTTTGGTAAATAAATATAGAAAACTTCTCACATACATAAGGCATGATATTCATGTTTTGTTTATTATATATTATCAAAATCCTCAATGGTGAGAAAATGTTAAAAAACGTATATATATATTTATATTATAAATTGCTTCTTGTTATAATAAGACAAAAACTATAGTAGTGATGATATTTTGTATAGAAATGATTAAATAAAAACTAGTAAAATAAATTGATTAATAAACATATTTAAAGCTTAATACAGTAACTAGTATTAATTTAAAAATCATAGATGTGTCACTGCAATATACGCTATAAATTCTGGATATCATAAAAGCATTACAGTATACTGTCCTACTTAGACCGGTTCAACCTTTGAACCTCAAGATGTAAGGGGGATACATCAAAAATGTTCACATTCTTCAACAAAAAAAATGCAGATTTTTACGGAAACGAATGCACAAAACAATTAACCAACCACTTGACTACTTCAATCTACACTTTCCATTGTTAAAATTTGAAATTTCTGAAAGTGTATATGTACCTAACTATGAAATTTGACGAACAGTAGTATATTTGAAAATAAAAATAACGTAAAAAAACTAACTGGACATATTTTCTAAATGTTTCTATGGTATTATAAAAATGAATAATTTGGAAGAAAATGAAACGAATGATAAGTTTTCTAGATACAAACCTGCTTTGAAATATGTGTTTCAGATTATTCTATTTGTTTTCCACGTACGTTGTAAGATACATTGAATCGAACTGAAAAAATTATAATTCAGTTTATTTATAACAAGCTTATATTAGTTTGTTTATTTTCTGCTTGTCTAATGGACAGAATTTTATTTAGGTTATTACATTTGTCTCGTTACACAATATTAAGTATATATTTAGATAAAGTCAAAATGCGAATTTATAATACTGCAATTGGCAAGGAATTAAGTTCCATTTGCACTGCCTTTTGGACAGGCCCAGTTATAGCATCAGCTATGGTCATCTTCAATGCATTAGTAACTAAATTGACAATGATTTCAAGAACTAAGTCCATTGATCCAAGGCCTTTTACGTCTACCCAAAGATGACGAATTTTTTCGATTTTAAATGCTTCAATCAGAGGTTTTTTTCCGCTTTGGAGCTCTTGTCTTACTCTCAGGTACACCGAAATGGATCGTATTGAGAGGAAAGCAAATCCAGTAGGACCAATTCCCATGATGTTAGCAGACCAATCATAACCTCCTGTGAGATTACTGAAACCTATACTAGCCTCCAGAATAACAGCGTTATCTTCGTAGGTTATCAGCACGTCGCCAGTGCGATGGAGTGTCGATAAGCCAATTAGTATTCCATTGACAATTTTTACCTCACCATAGAGGCGAAAAAATAATAACTTCTTCTGGAAAGATTTTTTATGGTCAGGCAGTTTAATGGGGTCAAGGTTATTGTTCTTTAACTGCTTAGAAGCTCGTCTCAATGCATCATCAAAAATGGTAGTCGACTCGGGATCAATAAAACTCTCTGGAATGTGATGTAACTGTGCGTTTAATTCTTTGTGCAGGCTTTCTCTCATTTCCTCTAACATAGACTTTTTAACCTGATCAAAAATTATACCACTAAGCTGATTGAGAACAGTATTACTGATACTTGACCAGGCTCCTCCTCCAAAAAGATTATCGAAGTGTAATTGGATATCGGAGACCTCGATATCAATGTCAATAGAATCTACTTCCAGAGTTTGATTAACAGCCACGATTTGTAATTTCGCGCGACCAAGAGTAACGATATCCGAGATGTTCATCCAGAATTCTCCTCCTCCATCAATAGAAAAGAAGGTAACAGATCCTTTCAGCATATACTCTCCTTCCAGCCTCATTAACTGTACAAACATCTCCACGCTTGCTTCCATAGTAGCTAGATTCACCTGTGCCTTTTTCACTTCCAATCCTTTCAGCCCGTACAGTTTCAGGTCCCATAGGTGACCATTTACAGTTGAAAACATGGTATCGCTGCTTATGTTGAAGTTTGGAACAGGAAGTGGGTCATGAATAAATTCTTGTATAATCCTGCTGGGATTAAAGGTACCATTTCCATCACTTCGAGCTTTACCGATAAATTCTTGAAGCCGAGAACTTAAAACTTCTTCTACTTGCCTTCGATATCGGTTGTGCTGATACTCATTGGAAACTTCATCTATTTCAACACATACAAAAACAAAGTTTAAAAGAAAAGAAAAAAGTCCAGATTCTATTTAATAGTATTTTCTAATCACTGTATTTTTATATTACAAGGGTTATTTATATTACTTAGAGTTGGGTGTTTGGTTCCATGGATTTAATATTAAAGTGGACTATTAGTACTCTGACCTTTCCTTCAAGAATTAAAAGATTCACCCTTGTATGTACGAAAATGTGTCGCTACGGTACTTATAATATCTAGCACGATAATGCAAAGAGTTTTAGCCAATTCAGTAATACAGATTTTTCCAAGTTTCCAGGTGTTGATACTGAACGTTATTAATAGGGCAAAATCTACCCGAGATACTTCGTTAGAATTTCTATGCATGTTTTTGATATGAAAAAAAGATTAGTTTTAAAGAAGGTAGTGTACTTATACAGAAGCTGAGTACGTTATATTAAACGATTTCGGAGCCTCACCACGTCATTACAGACCATGTCGACACGTTTGGAAACGTTCTATCTAACGACCATTCTTTTCGACAATAGCCCTACAACGTAGTTACATTGCAAAAGACTTCATTGTAAGACTGTCATGTCTAAAACAAACTCATTCTCTCTGCAGGCTTACCATAAACCATTTATTGTATGAGGACAACGGTTTTACAGCTCTCAACAGTCCAATTGCAAAGAAATTCATAATCGTAGTGTTGAACAACTGGACTGGTATGTCTTCGTATGGAATAGCACGAATACTCGTTTCGTTTCCTAACTGCTAGAAGTATACGATGGTTGAGCAAATGTGTCATGGAAGCAATTTATGTAATCGTAACTTGTGTCGTTTTTCCAGACGGAAATCCTCTTTCATTATGTTGCGTATTGTTGTCTGAGCCACGTGGACGGGTTTCGCCACTGCCCTTTGAATTTTCGTAAATTCTTACCTGTAACAAGGCGCCGCATTTCGCTTACCATAGCTGGGGTACGACTATTGCAGGCATCTTTCTGGATGTTTCTGGTGCCCCAAGTTGATCCATATTCCTTTGCTTTCCAGTATCATTAAGTATAATGGTTATGTCCCTCTTGGAAATCCTAAATCCCCAGTCTGAACACATATTTATAATCTGATTGTATGATAACTTCTTGTCCCAAAAGCAATCAATTTTTGATGGGATCACACTATTTATGAACGCCAATGTCAAAATGTAGTTTTATTACATACATAACCACCATGGCGTTATAGCGACTATAATCTCACGTGACTAACTGATTTGCATATTCGAAAAACGTTGTAATATAACGTGCTCTCTGTATACCATATTCAATTTCTAAGCATTTTAGAATTTTGAGGGGATATAATCTCTTACTTAATCTAGAAATGATGAATGCCATATCTCGAATATGGATATGTATTGCCCAGTTGTTGTATTTGAAAACTGCTATAATTATTCTCAAATTTCTTACGCATTACCTTCCATACAAAAATTACAATATACATTAAATAGCTTGCCTCACTGTAAGCTATCTTCACGATTAAAAACGCTCTTAGAAATAATTGGTTTATTAGTGGTTCATCAATATAATTCACATTTGGTTAATAGAAAATCCTATAAAAACTGATAATATCAATAATAAAATTATAAATTGGCATGAACCTACACCATCTATCCATTCTGCAAAACCCAATTTTGAAACCGGCAAAAAAGAATCATAAAACTGTATGCATGGTCTTGTAAATTTATAAATGGTTATCATTATTTCGTCAAGCTGCTTGGATTTCGTGAGACCAAATGGAATGGAGCATGAAACATCATATTAAACACAGGAGAGAACATCATTTACTCGGGATATGAGGATGAAAACCACCCTTACACAGAAGTAGTCATCCTGATATCAGCAGATGCAACAAAGGCCATGATGGAATTGGAACCAGTGTCACCCAAAATCATAACCACGAAATACAACTCAAAGGGGTGGAAGAAACAATCACGCAGTACTACGCTTCCAATCAACAATGCAGAAGAAAAAACCAAGCATAAATTCTATGAAAGCCTTCACAGCGTTCTTGACAAACTTCCCGACGATATCTTAAGATCCTCATGGGAGATTTCAATGCCAAAATTGGAGCTGGCAGCCACAATTATGAACTGATTATGGGACAGAATGTGCTTGGGGCCATGAATGAGAATAGCAAGCACTTTGCAAATTTCTGCACATTCAACGACTTTGTGATTGGAGGAACAATTTTCCCCAAAAAAATCAATGCACAAAAACATATGGACCGCACCTGATGGACACACAGGGAACCAAATCAACCACATCACTATCTCTAGAACATGGAGACACAGCCTCCTACACATGAGAGTGAAAGATGTGTGGATACAGGATCAGATCACAATCTTCTCTTTGGAACAGTTCGAGTAAAGCTGAGAGCTTTCAAGAGCGGATCAGGCAGAATGCACCACAAGTACAATGTGCAGAATCTCAGGGCAAGAGAGACAGCAGATAAGTTCCAATGCCAGCTGAAGAACAAGTTTGAACTTTTGAGTGACCTCATCAAAGAAACCATCGAGGACCATTGGGCCAAACTCCAGGAGACCTTCCAGAGCACTTGTGCTGAATTATCAGGCAAAAAGAAGAAAAAGCACAAGGAATGACTCTCACAAGCATCACGGGGCCTTATTCAAGGAAGAAAGGACCTCAAACAAAGAGTCAACAGATGCACCAACCAGGAAGAGAAACACGATTTACTGGCATAGTACTAGAACCTCAACAGAGAAATGAAGAAGAGCACCAGACGAGACAAGAGAGCTTTCGTTGAAGGACTCACAGAGGAAGCATAGACAGCAGCAGGGAAAAAGGATATGAAGACATTGTACAACATCACCCATACACTACAAGAAAGAACTCCAGTCAGGACAGGCCTGTAAAGGACAAACATGGACAGACTATCAGCAAAGAAGCAGACCAACGAGCTTCATGGGTTGAGCATTTCAAAGGGATATTCAACAGAGATCCCCCTGCACAACACCCAAAGACCAAACCAGCACCTGAGCTTATGAATGTTAACACCAACCCCCAACAAAGCAAAATATTACAAAGGTTCTCAAACTCCTGAGAGGTGGGAAAGCAGCAGGTCGAGACGACATTCTACCAGAAGCCCTAAGGACAGATTTTCAAATCACCACAGAGATCCCCCTGCACAACACCCAACGACCAAACCAGAACCTGAGCTTATGAATGTTAACACCAACCTCCCCCCCCCAACCAAAGCAAAATAATCACAAAGGTTCTCAAACTCCTGAGAAGTGGGAAAGCAGCAGGTCGAGACGACATTCTACCAGAAGCCCTAAAGACGGATTTTCAAATCACACA